AGCAGGATCGCGGCAATTGATGCAGGCACAGGCTTCGCAACATCATGGAACCCGAATGCAAACAACACCGTCAGTGCGCTTGCGGTCAGCGGGGGCACGGTATATGTAGGCGGTATCTTTAGTACTATCAGCAGTCAAACAAGACCCAGGATCGCAGCAATAGATGCCGGTACGGGCTTCGCCACGTCATGGAACCCGAATGCAAACAGTAATGTCAATGCCCTTGTGATCATCGGCAGCACGGTGTATGCCGGGGGAAGCTTTACGATCATGAACGGTCAAATAAGAAACAGGATCGTGGCGATTGATGCTGTCACCGGCGTGCCCACGACATGGAACCCTAATCTAAACAGTACAGTCAATGCGTTAGCGGTCAGCGGCAGCACGATATATGCAGGCGGAATTTTTACTACGGTGGGCACCCAGACAAGAAACAGGATCGCAGCGATTGATGCGGGCACAGGCTTAGCCACATCATGGAACCCCTGTGCAAGCAATGCAGTAAGTGCGCTTGCCGTGAGCGGCAGTACTCTGTATGCAGGCGGGTCATTTGCCATCATCGGCGCCAAGGTTCGAAACGCCATTGCGGCGATCGATGCCAGTACAGGTCTCGTCACATCGTGGGACCCTAATGCAAACGGTCAGGTGGCTACCCTTGCCGTCAGCGGCAGTACAGTATATGCAGGCGGAAATTTTACTACCGTGGGTGGTCAGACAAGAAACAAGATCGCAGCAATTGATGCAGGCACAGGTCTCGCCACATCATGGGACCCTAATGCAAACGGTCAGCCATCCGCGCTTGCTGTCAGCGGCAACACGGTGTATGTAGGCGGAATCTTTACGAACATTGGAGGCCAGTCAAGAAGCAACATCGCGGCCATTGATGCAGTAACAGGCCTCGCCACATCATGGGACCCCAGCGCCGATCGTCAGGTATCTGCGCTTGCTGTCAGCGGTAGCACAGTGTATGCAGGCGGGCTATTTGGTAGCATTGGTGGCCAGACAAGAACTTTAATCGCGGCTATTGATGCAGGTACGGGCCTCGCCACATCATGGAACCCTGGTGCAAACGGTCAATTATCTGCGCTTACTGTCAGCGGTAGCACGGTGTATGCAGGTGGATTCTTTACTTCCATTGGCGGCAAGGCGAGGAGCATGATTGCAGCGATCGATGCAGGCACAGGCCTCACCACATCATGGGATCCCCACGCCAGCGGTCAGGTAGCTGCTATTGCTGTCAGCGGTAATACGGTGTATACGGGCGGAAGCTTCGCCACGATTGGCGGCCAGACAAGGAACAATATCGCGGCGGTTGACGCAGGTACAGGTATCGCCACATCATGGGATCCTAACCTGAACGGTAATGTATTTTCACTTGCAGTCAACGGCAGCACATTGTATGCAGGCGGAAGCTTTACTAATATTGGTGGACATGCCACTGGTACTTTCGCCGGAATCGATGTAGCGAATCCAGGGGCAACAACGACTATTTCCATCACTTCTTCAGCAAATCCATCAACGGCCAGTCAGAATGTAACTTTCACGTCGACCATTACATCAACCGGTACACCTACCGGCACTGTTTCTTTCATGGATGGCGCAACGCTGCTGGGTACAGGAACCGTTTCAGCCAATGCATCAAGTTTCAGTGTATCATCGCTGGTTGTCGGCTCTCATAATATTACCGCCATATATAACGGCGATGCAAATAATCTAACCAGTACTTCCTCCAATTTGGTTCAGGTGGTAACTATCAATGCAACCACCATTTCCGTAACCTCTTCCGGGAATCCATCCCTGTCAGGACAAGCCATTACATTTACGGCGAACATCATAACACCCGGCACACCCACCGGAACGGTGTCCTTCATGGATGGCGCTACAGTTTTGGGAACAGGAACCGTTTCGGCCAATACGGCAAGTTTCAGTATATCATCGCTGGCGGTTGGTTCCCATACAATTACCGCCATTTATAATGGCGATGCCAACAATGCAGGTAGCACCTCCGCCAATTTGGTGCAGCTGGTAAACACACCTGCCCCGGTAGTTGCCCCGATTACGGGCAATACCACCGTCTGCGCATCATCAGCCACGCAATTAAACGATATTACCACGGGCGGCATCTGGAGCAGCAGCAATACCGGGATCGCTTCGATTGATGGCTCGGGTCTGGTAGCAGCGCGAACCGCGGGAACGGCATTAGTATCTTATTCGGTTACCAATAGCGGCAATACCACAACCGTAACGACTGTGATAACCGTAAATCCGGCGCCATCCATAGCAGTCGCAGCTTCTGCTACAGCTATCTGCAGCGGATTCTCCGTCACGCTAAGCGCGAGCGGCGCGCAAACGTACTTATGGCAGCCTGGTTCATTGAGTGGCAGCAACATTACGGTATCTCCTGATACAACAACTACTTATATCGTCACCGGCACAGATGCCACCGGATGTCCGAGTATTTTTGGTGCGGACTGGAAAGCAGTCATTTCAGGAGGATATAGTAGCCTTTCCTATACCATGGCCCTTAAAAAAAGATGGCACTTTATGGGCCACCGGTGATAACTCCTTCGGCCAGCTGGGGGATGGAACCGTAACAAAGACAACTATTTTTAA